CAGCTGTGAAAGTCCGGCTATGCAAGCAAATGAAGGTGCCCGAACTCCACATCTACTCAGGCACTGCTCGGCTGAAAGATGCAGTTATTTCACACAGCCTTCTGCAGAGATCCTCCTTGGACCAGCCCACATGTCATTTCTGCTACAGGAGTAATGATATGCTGCATTCCGGTACGAGTATCTTCTTAACACCAAAGCCTCTGCACCGAGTGAGGCCCTTTGCTCCGCAGGGCTTCCAGCTGCCACACTGGCCCGGCAAAATGCGGGCAGAACGCAGCATCACCGCACTTGGGCATTATCTCCCTGCTGTTTGTCTGAGCGCACGCAGGAAGACGGTTGCTCTCCTGCTTTCCAAAGCAGCTCCCGTGGTCTCACACACCCCCGAGGAGGGGCAGGGCTCAGTCCAGGCCTGCCTAACCGCGTTCCCGATTAGCCCAAGTCCCCCCGCGTGCCCTCATGCCCTGCCCTGGCCCGGCTGCGCCGTCGCGGGCGGAGCCGCACCGGGTGTTGGCGGCGAGCGCCGAGCAGCTGCGGGGTTTGACGGCGGCAGCCGCCGCGTCCGGCTGCGCGGGGAGGCGCAGGGTGGCCGGGGAGGGGGGCGGCTGTTCCGGGCGGTCCCGGCTCGGGGGACAGGAGGTCTTTGCGGCTCGCACCGTACAGGGGTCCAGCCGGTAGTCAAAGACCTCCATCGGCTAGCCGGGCTCCGGACCGCCCGCCGAGGCAGCGGCGGCACAGGGCCGAGAGCAGCCGGGACCGCTGCCCGCAGCACCGACGGGAGCACGTCAGAGCCAGCCCGCTGTCGCCCAGGCCCGGGGAGAAGCGATGGAGAGAGGACTCCGGGAGGCTGCAGGAGAACCGGAGGCGCGTCCAGCGGCACCCTAACACCCACGGTCACTCGCGCCATAGGGCCGGCGAGAGTTGCCGTCGGGCCCCCGTCTCGGGGGCGGTGCCGCCGCCCCCCGTCCCCCCAGGCACACCCCCGGGGCGGGCAGGCCCCGGCGGCACCCCCGCCCCGCAGCCCCCCGGCTGTGTCCGGCACGGTGCAGCGGGGCGGGGCGCGAAGGGCGGGCGGGCGTGCGGCGGGGCCGGCGCGGTGGCGGGGGCGGGTGGGGTTTCCGTGCGCGGCGCTTATTAGTGTGGTGATGGAGGACCGGCCCCTCGGAGCCGCCTCGCAGCGGCGGCGCGGGCTGGCGGCGGCCGCCGGGAGGTGAGCGGCAGCGGCTCGGGCGGCGGAGGCGGCGGGGCCGCCCCCGCCGTGCCCCATGCGGGCGGCGGGGCGGCGGCGGCGGCGCTGAGGGCGATGTCGGAGGCGGGGGGCGCGGGCCGGGCGCGGGCCGCCGTGGAGCGGCTCTCGGAGGCGGTGGGCGAGCGGCGGCGGCAACTGGGCACCGCCATGGGGGAAGCGCGGCGGCAGCGGCGGCTGCTGCTGCTGGTGGTGTGCGTGGCCCTGCTGCTGGACAACATGCTCTACATGGTCATCGTGCCCATCGTCCCCGACTACATCGCGGCCATGCGCGGCGGCACCGCCGGCCCGTCCGCGCCCGCGGGGGGCAACGGGAGCGGCGGCGGTAACCGGAGCCTTCTGCCGGCGCGGTACCCGCCGGCCACAGGGGGCAACGAGGACGTGCAGATCGGGATGCTGTTCGCCTCTAAAGCCATTCTGCAGCTGCTGGTGAACCCCCTTAGCGGCACTCTCATCGACCGCGTGGGCTACGAGGTGCCGCTGCTGGCCGGGCTGGCCGTCATGTTCCTCTCCACCATCACCTTCGCCTTTGCCGAGAACTATGCGACGCTGTTCGCGGCGCGCAGCCTGCAGGGGCTGGGCTCGGCCTTCGCCGACACCGCCGGCATCGCCCTCATCGCCGACCGCTACGCCGAGGAGCCGGCGCGGAGCCGCGCCCTGGGCACGGCGCTGGCCTGCATCTCCTTCGGCAGTCTGGCCGCACCCCCCTTCGGCGGCGTCCTCTACGAGTTCGCCGGCAAGCGGGTGCCCTTCCTGGTGCTGGCCTGCGTCTGCCTCCTAGACGGGCTGCTGCTGCTGGCCCTGGCGCCGCCCGGTGCCACCGGGGCAAGAGCCAACATGCCTGTCGGCACCCCCATCCACCGCCTCATGATCGACCCCTACATCGCCGTAGTGGCAGGGGCCCTGGCCACCTGCAACATTCCCCTGGCCTTCTTGGAGCCCACCATCGCCAACTGGATGAAGGATTCCATGGGGGCCAGCGAGTGGGAGGTGGGCCTCACCTGGCTGCCCGCCTTCTTCCCCCACGTGCTGGGTGTCTACGTCACTGTCCGGCTGGCTGCTGCGTACCCTCACCTTCAGTGGTTCTACGGGGCCCTGGGCATGGCCATCATCGGCGCCAGCTCCTGCTTGGTGCCGGCCTGCAGGAATTTCGGGCAGGTCATCATTCCCCTCTGTGGCATCTGCTTCGGCATCGCCCTGGTGGACACAGCCCTGTTGCCCACCCTGGCTTTCCTGGTGGACGTGCGCCACGTCTCTGTCTACGGCAGCGTCTATGCCATTGCAGACATCTCCTACTCGGTGGCGTACGCCCTGGGGCCCATCGTGGCCGGCCAGATTGTGCACACCATGGGCTTTGCACAGCTCAACCTGGGCATGGGGCTTGCCAATGTGCTTTATGCCCCTGTCCTCCTCTTTCTCAAAAATGTCTGCCAAATGAAGCCCTCTCACTCGGAGAGGAACATCCTCCTTGAGGAAGGACCTAAGGGACTCTATGACACCATCAAAATGGAAGAGCGCAAAGGCATGGGCAAAAACCTGCAGCCAGCGGGTGAGATGGATGAGAATGGCATGGACTCATATCACAGGGACTTGAAAGGGGTGTCAGAGGAGGACTCATCAGACTATGAGTACAGTTAGATTTCCCCCATGCAGCCCAGCCCCATGAGCAAGGAAGGACATGTGGGGGAGAGAGAGGGAAAAGGGGGGATAAAAGTGTTACTGCATTATGTTTCTGTACTGATGTGCAATATATACAGTTTAACCTTTGTCATGATGTAATGGCTTTCTTCTAGATTTATTTTTAATCGGTATTTCTTTCAGCATTCTGGCAAAGTGGATGGGGTGGGGAGTGGGGGAGCAATACTGACAGAAATTATCGGAGTAATCATTGGCATAAATCTGAGGGGATCCTTCAAAAAAACCCACCAAAAAGAAAACGAAAAACCCATCAGCCTTGTAGCTGGGGTATAATTGCGCAGAGTGTCCTCAAGCTGAAACTGTCTGTGACATACTGTATATCTCTGTTTAAAAAATACAAGAAAAGCAAAAAAAGTATGTGTAAAATTTCAAATGGCTTATTCAGGGACTTAAGAAATCTTGTGTACATATACTCAGACTTTCAGTTGGTTTCATATGTTTAAGAAGAGCAACAACTGTCACACTGTCACATTTTATTCTTCCTTGGGAATAAAACTGAAGTATTGTACTTTTTTTTTTTTTCTCTCTTGTGCTGCTCTCCAGTAAGTGCAATATGCTGTATTATGTTGAAGTCCAAATTACAAGAATAATACAATCTGAATAAATGGAATTGAAGGGAATCGATTGTCTTTTGTTTGTTGTTGAGGGCTGCTTGAGGGAGGGAGCTAGTTGTGCTCATTGTAACCCCTGCACTAACAATTAATTCCCCATTGCACAAATCTCAGTACCTACCTAAATTGCACAGGAGACGACCCCAGTACAAAATGTTCTCATTCATTTTTCACAACATGCCAGATCTGAGCAAACAACTTTGCAATGCAAACACCCTACCAATTGCCTAAAAACAGCTCCTTCTATTCTTATTCGAATTTAATTTTAATTCCCACAGTGATGAATTTCAATTTTCGAGTATTTAAAAAATTACATGACCAGCAGTTAAGAGACACAGTACTAGAAAATGCCTTTCGTGGCGTTAAATGCTGCCCCAATTGCAACGTGCCCGCCTCAGGGATTAAACAAAACAAAAGATGGGTGAAGTACTTCATTCAAACATTTGCAAAAAGTGGAAACCTTCGGTCCAACCACAGTGCAACCAGGCTGCCTGATTTTCCCTGCAAATTTCTGTCGATATGAAATAAAATCGTTTATTTAAATTCCTAGCTTATTATGAAACAAAATAAATCACTTGTAATCTCAAGAGGGAAAGAAAAAATTTACGAACGGCCACGGCGCCTGTTTAAGGGCTCCCACCCGTCCCTGGGGATCCGGGCGCCGCGAGGGACCGGCGGACGAGCGGCCGGTGCGTTCCGCTGGACTGCTCGGGACGCGCGGCCCCGCAGCTCCTGCCGGGGCGAGCGAATCGCTGCTTAGGCGGCGCAAAACTCATGAAAACAGCGCGCCGGCTCTTTGGCCCGGGAGTTCGGCGAAGGAGCGATGGCCACCGCGGTGGGAGGTGAGCCCCACTTCCCTAAACCGCAGCCGCTTCTTGGCGGTAAGCGGCCACAGCGGTGCCGCCTCCGGTCCGCCGCCCGCGCTCCCGCTGCTGCTGCCGGCCCCGGGGCAGCTCCCGCAGAGCCCCTCCCGGTACCGCTGCTGCCCCGTCGCAGCTCCCACCCCTCCCGGCAGTGGTGCCGGCAGCCCACCGGCAGCGCCGCCCGCCCCTGTATGGCCGTGGAGCTTTCAGGAGCCGCAGATGCCCCGCGGCGACACTGCTCGGCGACGGCGACAAACCCCGTGGCAACGCGGGGCAGCGAGGGCAGTAACCCCCTCGGGGCTCCCCTTTTCCCCGCCGCAGAGGGAGCCTCTCGGCTGACCCCGACGGCGCTGAGAGCACGGGCGAGCCCGGCTCAGCCCGGCTCCCCCCGCCCCCTCACGGGACACGGCGGGCACGGGGCGAGCTGGCGCCGGTGCAACCGGCGGGCACAGCCCCTCGCACGGGCGGAACAGGCGCGGGGGCAGCGCAGGAACCAACGCCTGTTGCGCGCAGAGGGAGGGGCGGGTAGGGCAGGGCAGGGCAGGGCAGGGCCGGGCGGTGCGGGGAGGAGCCAGGCGGCGGCGGAGACGAGCCGCCCTTCGCACGCCCCCGCCCAGAGGGGACCTGGCCGCAGAGGAGGCGGCGGTACCTTGGACAGAGCCGCCGCGACTCGAGAGCCCGCCCGGCAGCCGCTCCGGAGCGCCCCGACGAGCAGGTACGGGCGGGCGGGCTGAGCGCTCCGCGCCTCCCGCTGCCCCGACGGCGCGGCTGCGGGCGCCGGGAGAGCCAGAGGCTTGGGAGCGGGGAAAGGGGGCGGCGGGTCCCGCAGAGCGGAGCTCCAAGAGGGCTCCCCTCGCCAAACTCCACGGCTCCGGCGGCACCCACGGGGCCGCTTGGTTGCCGCCGACCGCGTGTCCCGCCGCGACGGGAGGTTCGGGAGGGAAGGGGGGCCCCCGGGAATAAGGCTCGGGAAGGGCTTGGGACGCGCCGAGAGCCTCTGGCGGAGCGTGGGCGCTCGCGGCTGGCGACAGGGCGGCTCCTGGCTCCTCTCGCAGTGTCATCGGCTGCAGCAGCGCGCACTTCACACTTGTATTCCTGATAACGCAGACATCCCTCTTAACTGTAACCAGAGATTCTTGAGAACTTTAAGCTTATTCTTCTGATAACACCGAGAGCGAGGATGACTAGAGAGACGGGGGCCGAGTGTATTGCCCTAACAATATTATATGCTGCAAGCTGCCTCCCGAGTCCACAATGTATGGAGAACTCAGCTATAAGCACATGGGCTTATTTCAGTCCTCCTCTGCTATCTGCTAACAGAGAGATCAGTGCCTTTTGTTGTGGATTTGAGTTGCTGCTTTGAGCAGTGGGGAAGGCCACCCTCTCCTCAGCCTGCTGTGACTCGCAGCCACCCTGCTAAGCCTCTCACCCCAGCCCTCCAGCTAAGCCAGCTGTAAATAAAAACAGCTAGGATTATTTTATATTTTTTTGCCTAATAACTTTGACAATGCGCCTCACAGCCTTCTAGTGAGCAACTTTGAAGTCATCTTGAATTTCTGCAGGATTTTCTCCTGTGTCAGTTTTCTCGTCCCTTATTAAGCAAATACAGGATTGTGTGTGATGTTAATCTGTCACCACTTGAACCAGAGACAAAGCCTCCGTTCATCCCCATGCCAGAGAAAAGCACAGTTCAGGCTACCACCTCCAAACTCCTTATCACACTGTTTTCACAGATACGCGGATCAGGTCTATTAGTAGTAGCATTTCCCAAAGACTCAGAGCCAGTATAGATTTATAGTGGGTGTGACGCCATATTGCGGTTTGACAAAAGACATAAGCAAAGAAAGAACAAAAGTCCCAGTGAGAAGAGTTTAAGGTAATTACTTTAAGGTAATACAGTTTTAGGGGCTCTAAAGACAAAATGGCTGCTCTGCGTTTCAACACAGGTGGGGAGCCAGTCTACTGGAAGACTGGGCAAGCCACAGTCTTCCAAGAGTTACAGGAATTATTTGAAGTGCTCTGACCCTGTGTTGCTAGGAATAGAGTGCAGGGCTGAGTGATGAGACCTGTGCAGCACACAAGAGGGAGCGAAGCAGCACATTGGGTTAATGTGGCCTCTCCATGAGGGAAATCATCTCTCACCTGGGTTGAAATTGTGAGCAGATGACAGATCAACATGGGTTTGCTGTGTGGCTCATTGCAGGGCCCCGGGGACATCTCTCAACCTCATACAACCTATTTCACAGCACATGGCTCCACTGAAAGCCATTGCGGGACAGGATCGACACCAGGTGTCAGTGACCACATACACGTTGGCAGAGCTGGAATAGCCAAGCCAATCCTCAGGAGAGGAATAATGCACTGCCATTGCTAAACAGAACTCTTCATTGCACTTTCACACACTGTAGGGTTTTTATCCCAATTGTTCTTAAAACCTGTTTTAGAAATATCTCAAGTGTCTTGAATGTATAGTCCCAAAGATTACAGAAAGGAAAGTATTTTCTGCATAGTCAACACGTGTTGTCCTTTATATTTTGCATACACACAGTGGAAAGTAATTAAAATAAAACCAAAAAAACTTGTAATCCATCAAGATCTGACTGAACACAAACAACTTGCTTTGCTTTAGCTGTCTTTATGTACTATCATAATTGAGTGACAATTGCTTGGTGTGGGCACTCTTATGCCAGAAGACACAGATATGTCATATAGCTTACTTTTGTATAGAAAAGCAGTAAGAGGCATCTTTAGAAGGCAAAACCAGGATAAGCACAATACCAGAGAGACATCAGTGGAAGTATTTGCTCTGTCACAGATTCCTTTTGTGACTTTTGGCAGGTTAAACCATCTCCCTGGATAGTTACATGCTATTTGGGAAGACCTCTGTATGAAGCACAGTGTATGCCACTGCTGCCAGTCCTCCCACAACCAGCCTGCCTTAGGCAGTCTCATGGGGTCCCCCAGACCACATCTATGCCCCAAAGCACTGGCACCCAGTGAGCTTCTAGGTTGCAGGGGGCAAAGGCACATCTCCATCAAGCTCCTTTCTGCAGCTTTTACATCTTCTAGCACAGCAGCTCACTGTATCTGTGGAACCATGCAGTGACAAATACATTTACAGACTGTGGTGCTTTCATATAAAATGGTAAATGGAGGAAATACAAGATCCTCAGATAGAAAATTGCAGCCTTACTATTACCTGTGTCAACGTAAGTACACTCAAAGAAAAGTCACCTCTTTCCTCCAGCTAATGTGTAACAGTCATACAAAGCACACAGATCATGCCACAATAAATTGCAAAGTAAATTACAGTGACAAAATAAACCATGCTGAGAAGGGACCTTTTATGAGCATCAGATAATTCTGAATAAATAAATTTATAGCAAAATGAGACAAACAGAATGTCAGAGCAATTTCCAAAGGGCTCAGTTCAGCTACTTTTGACTGCTATACTTCTAGTTCTCTCCAGTTTTGCATTCTGAAGCTCCTGCGTATGCTTGCGCAGGGAATACTCCCCTCGTACATTTTGGTTATAAATAATGGGTACTGACAGGACTTTAAATCTCTTCTATTTCCAGAACTGAGGCGTGAGGCTCCATAAGTGCCCCCAAGTGTCTTCAATTTCTGTCCTCAACAAAAGATACCAAAAGAAATGCAGAAATGCCTGACCTAGAAAAAAACACGCAGAAGAAAGAGAAAGATACAAGCAGTAAAGATGAGACAGTAAGTGACTGGTTCCAGGAAAACAAAAACGAAGAGACCTAACAACTTTTAATACTGTAAATTAACGTAAACTGATATAATAATTGTAGCCTAAGCTCTGTTCCAGAGCCTATTTCTTTATTTCAGGGAATGCTTCTCACATCCAAATACACTCTTTCTCCCAACACTCTGTGAAGAATTCCAGTAAATGAAATATTATTATACAACAGCAGATGCATTGCTACCAAGTCAGGGATGGCATGTAATTATTTCTTAATAGTACAGAACTATCAAACTATCACATATGATTCATTTTAAAGCTGCTTTAGGAGATGCCAGATGTGTATGCCTGTAAGTAGTCAACCCCTTGGGTTTAAAGCTTTTTTCCTAAGCAGAGTCATGAACTGTTCAGTAACCTAACCTGGAAAGACAGGGCTGAAGCAAGGTATCAAAAAGAAATACCGTTTAGCACATCTGTTTCCATTGACCAAGAAATCAATGACAGAAGAAATATGTCTTGACTAAACGTGGCTTGAAACTGTAGAATTGCCATTCTCTTATTTCTGAGATCCGGGATGCATTACAGGCTAAATTGGATTTGCATTTCCATTAATAACAGGTAATCCTATGACACTTTTTATGAGTATCTAAAATCTTCACTTTCTAGATAGGGAAATGTAATGCAGCACTGACTTTTCTGTGGATGTCAAAAGGCAGAGCTGGTATTTGAGCTCAGAGGACATTGAGTCCCTGCCTACTGTTCAGAGCATTTTCTCTACCCCTCCCTCCCTGCATGCACTAGCAGAGAAGTCTTCAGCTAGATTTACTCTGAGCAGCAGGTGGGACAAGGTGACTGCTAATCCTTTCTTCCAACCAAAATCACACTCTGGTCCTGCTATCCTGTGAAAATCAATGTCTGTTACACCAAGATGTAGTAAAAAAAAATGTGAAATTTGCGTACTTTGGGAGATAGGCAAAAATCTAATTGGAAAAACAAACCCTCCAAAAGTTTATGGCCTACACTAATCACTAATGGACAAGCATAGCTGCATTAGATGCTCGTTTCTCAGCTGGGAGACACAGCCACCTCCCTGAGGAGCCATGCTTAGAGCGTCACAGCCTTTTGCAATTTCCCAGTCTTTTATGAACAATCTCCTTGTTTGATTCTCCCACTGCCCCCATAACTGCTCTGGCTTTTAAATGACTAATTACGCTTCACTTGGTTAATTCTACATTAAAAAACAAAGGAAGCTTAATTGCATGAGTTGCATGAGATTCTTTTCTTCCCAGATAATATTGCTCCAAAACAGGATAAGGATAAAGCAAGTATAAACATAAATGTTTTATCAAGCGGACTAGGGGGGTTCCAGACTGACTGACAGCAAAGGTTTGCCAGGGTAAAACACAGGTTTATGGAGGACTGTACATAGTCAGTACTAATAAACAGGAAGACCCGCATGCTTTTTATTTCTGTAGTTTTATAACCTCTCATATTACCAATCAGACAAGTATTAACCCATGGTTTTACTAATCACAAGTTAAATGTACTTTTTTACTAATGAAATATACCTTTAATTCAGTCATTATGTTACTATGCTGTCATGTATTTGCAGATTTCCTAGAGTCTAGCTGAGACTGTATGCTTGCATCATGACTCATTGTCCTAGGATTTCTAGAATTTTTACCAAGGAATATTCTTCTTGGTAGTTTTCCACTACTCCCCTAGTCTATCCATTTGAAAGCTTTCAAATAGAGTTACTGGAGAGCACATTTGAAGCAATCAGGCCTTCAGCTGCTAAAACAGAATAAATCCATTAAAAAATGGATGCAATATATTAATCAGCAACAAAAGGAAAAAATAAAGAATTAAAAAAGGGGACAGATTAGGAACAAGTAGAATTACTTGCTAATATATGTATTTTTTTTTATGATTAGGCAGTGCCAAAACTTCCAGTTCCACCACTGCAACAGACCTTAGGTATGTACCTACAGTGCATGAAACACTTGGTGCCAGAGGAGCAATTTAAGAAGACCAAGGTCATAGTGGAACAGTTTGGAATTCCTGGAGGCCTGGGGGAATCCTTGCAGAAAATTCTTGAAGAAAGAAGGGAAAAGACAATGAACTGGGTAAGCAAATACAGATGAGAAAAATAATTGCTGTGTTGGATGATGCTCATCTACAAACTCCTTCTGTTGTTCTACATGCAATCACTGTTTTCTTTCAGCTGGTCAATGCAATCAGGGGTCACACATCAGATTCTGACAAAGGGAATGAGTATTTCCAACATATTAGGCTAGATTTTTCAAATTATGTCAAAATCTGTATCATCATTATGCTTTCAGATCAACAGTTTGTTGGCATCAATGAGGACGTTCATTCACCTCAGGTACATGCACAGAGGTGTCAGCAAGACTTGTAGGAAGCACTATATTACATCATTTTTGGATGCAATTTCTTCCTTTCCCTTTAATAACAGGATTTAGATTTTTTATTGAAATGAAAAATGCTTTCTGATAGGGCTATAAAAAGTGCCTTGCATAGACATCTACCCAAAGCTCTGATCCACTCAGATTATTCTGGAATGGAATATTTCATTATAGGAATGACTCTTTTAAAACTGAACTATTATTTGCCATTCTCTGTGACACTATACCAATGTATTTACCCTGAAGTATTTACTTTGTCAAATATACACATACATATACATGTGTATCTATCACACAGACCATGCTGAGACCTCAGCCTTTTAAAAAGTCCAGCTTTCTACTTCCCAAGACAGGAAAATTAAATATGCCGTAGCTAAAGTAGATTTTATCACTCCACAAAGTTGCAGTTCACCCTGCCTACATTAACTGTGTGGCAGCTGAAAACAAGAACTTTACGGAAGTCTTTCCATCCTAGCAAGGAAAATGGTTTCATGGATTCAGTGAAATCCTGCAGGCTTGCTACTCTTGTCAGTGAATTGAGGTTCTCCCTTTACTTTTCAGTTGTGTGACGCACAAGAAAACCCCATCAAATTGCTGCTATAATCAGGGAAAAAAGGCTACAGTACTGGCAGTGCTTTTATTTTAAAAACAGTTCTTCATTTCTGAATGAAATGCTGCCTGATCTTGTTTTGTTGTTTTGATCATAGAACTTCATGGGTTTGGTGTCTAAGCTAACCATCATTTAGTGTTCCTGATAGCAAATACTGTTCCAGGAGACAACTGCTCATTTAACCACTTATAACTTGAAAACTACAGAGGAAGGATTCGTAAACATTTTCTGAAAATGTGTCAGTTTTAAAAACTGCTTATTAAAATGAAATACCTGATTCTTAAGATAAATCAGAAATGGTTTTATGCAGAATTTAACTTGCCAGGAGTGTAGCTCTAGCATGTTCTCCTGAAGACTCCAGAGACTGTGGGGGAAGCATCTGTTCTAACAGCAATGAAATATCTCGGAGGAAAACTTTTTCAACTGATGCATGCATTTGTAATTATTTTTGCATAATTTCGTTGTTGTTTATAGTTGCCATATGCAAAGCCTGCCCACTCAGAAAGACCATTTGATCATTTTATGAAAGCCTCCATTTTCCAAATAATGATTCTTCAATCTCTGCTCAGACATAAAGGAATGAAGTTACTGTACATCTGTGCTTTCAATAAAAATGGTTAGAAATTTAGTAAGTGTGTTTGTCTGGGTCAAGCATCAGCAATCTGTATTTGTGTCAGTGGACACAGAGGGAATTCTCCAGGGGCCCAATCCACATGCCAGTATCTGGAGGACTAAACCATCAGGGTTGGAAAATTCTTTTCTTGCTACAGGACAGTATCTGATGGCTAACAATAGAACATCCTGGCATCATGGACAAATATTTGAAGCTGCTTGAGCAAAGCCATCACCAGTAAAACTCTGTCCCATCTATTAAACATATCCTAATCACAATGCAAGAGTTATTATGTTGTACTCAAGCATTTTTTGGTTGTAGAGAGAAGGAAACAACAAAATACCCAAAGCACCATGATATGGAGCTTGTTTACTTTTTAATGGAACACACTGTAAATTGCCATTGATTGAAAAATAGGATTATGGAATTGCGGCTGACTTCAGCTGAGCTGAGGTCGCGGAGCCCGGGCTGAAAATGCTCAGCAGCTCCATTAATCAGAGCCCAGGCCTGACACCAGGAGCACCAAGCCCTCTCCCCTCACCCCCGGGGCTGCCTTTCCACGTGCTGTTTGTAGCTTTAAGATTTCGTGTCCCCTTCCCTTAGGTGTTTAACTACTGGCTGGATGACATGTACCTCAACAACCGGCTGGCTCTTCCAGTCAATTCCAGCCCAGCAATTATCTTTGCTCGTCAGTATTTCAAGGATGTAAATGACCAGCTGAGGTAATGTACTACGACTTTGCAGCTTTTGCTAAATGAAAGGATATTTTAAATGTACTGCTTTTGCAAAAAGACAATCAACTTTCATTAAAAAATAAGAGCTGTAGCCATTAAACGATTTCCTACTAGGCCTGCTGACTGAGGGCAGTGTTTCTGGGGTTACTCATACTAATGTTCAGAAAGGAAAATGTCGTTACTATTACATTTATTGCATGAAAAAAATGCCATGAGATATATATTTTTAAGGAATATTTGCAAAGCTTTTTATTGTATGTAATCCAAGTAAACCACTTTGTGAGGAAAAAAAAATAAATACTAATTTCTGCCACATAGTTTGAAGGAAAATAATCTTTAACATGCCATCACTGTGACTTGTAGCCACCCTGCAAACTGAAAAGGCCACGCTGGCATTACATAGTACCTTTCAGATGCCCAAAAGGGCACCAGAAACACAGGGGATCTAAGAATAAGAATTCAGAAATCATTCTTCTCCAAGAACACTGCTTCCTTCAGGCCCATAATTCCCAGCCCTGAACTGATCTTTCTCCTTTGAGCTACTGTGGGCAATTACTATCATTTAAAAAGTGAAAAGCTAAGCACGTAGCCAAGCACAGAATATACCTCTCCAGACACCCTTAAAACAGGGTTCCATTCTTCAGCCTTTGCCAAAACACTTTCTCCTTTTAAAACAGCAAAGCAGATCAAATCTACCTTCATATAGTGCAATTTTCCTCTTTGCTTTTAGCACTCTCTAGCTGCTCATTACTGAAATAATTAACTGCATGTGAATTTATGCTATTATAAAACAGCCAGAACCTTGAAACCAATATGCATTATTTTAACATTTTGTGTAGACAGCTAATGCATCTTTTTACTTTAGTTTAAACATAACTATAAATGCTTCCATTCATTACTGACTAAATTTATCGTGCACACAGCTTTCAAAAAACCTCCCCTTTGCATTTTCTACTGCACGTGCTTTAACAAGGAAATATTTTTCTCAGAGCCTCCCATTCTGACACAGTGCAAATGGTCAATGTCAGGAAATAATACACCTGTCCTCAGCTCTGCAAAAAGAATATCTGCTTAGGACAGGAAGTACTCTAATAAATTGGACAGCTTATGAGTATTGATACTGAAACCCATGTAAAGGATTCTAATAAATATTCAGCCTCTGTTCCCATTCTCTAAATAAATGCTTTCAGGCTTCCTCCTGTGATCTGTTTAACCATTTGAAGGGGCTGTTTCTAGGATTTCATATTTCTCTTGACATGAATTAAATTTAGGCTTTGGGTGGGGGCAGGGAACTCTTCTTGCCAAGCCAGAAGACTTGCTCCCCTTATGCTGTGTCATCAATCATTCCTCTGTCTCTCAGAAACAGCCCAGTGTTGCCAAATGACAAAAGACTGATGTCACTTCTATCTGCCACTTGCAGGTTTGCCGCCAATCTCATTTCAGGAGTGCAAGACTACAAAGCTTTACTGGACACGTAAGTAGCTTGGAAGGAGAGCTGCTGCTTGAGTACCCACAGGGCTTCTGATTCAAAGGTGCTCTCAATACAAAATTGGGCTGTATTGCACCCCCCCATGATTTGGAAGGGCTGGGGCTCCAGCATGCTTCAGGGTGAGGGCTTCAGCAATTTTTTATGCACTTTCTCCTTTATTACTGCAATATAACAGGTTGAAGAGGGATACTTTTTGATGGCTGGTAGTCATCAGTCTAGCAGGCACAGGGCAGCCCAAAAGGGCAGGCACGATCTGCCTAACAGTTATTGAGAGCACCAGAGGAAATCTGTGCTCTCCACGCCCAAAGAGCAGCAGCACTGTGGGTACACAGCCTGCACACCTTTGCTGGCACTCTCTACCTGCCAGGGCGCTGCACCCCTTCCACGTCCTGCACTCTGCATTTAGAACACCAATCCTCCCTCCCCACGGAGAAATAACACATTTAGGGGAAGAAGCCTCACCACTGACAGGCCGGCTCAGTAGCTAGTTGAAGTAAGTTACTTATGCAATTGTTACTTTCTGTATATAAACACAGGGGAAATACAGGATTCTTCAAGTTATGTATGAGGTAACTCATAATATTTACATAGCAATTCTTAGCTTCAGCTAGTATGTTCCAAGTTTACTGCTGAAACCACCACTCCCTGAAGAATAGGAACAGTGGAGAGCCAAGCACAACACAGACCACACTATAGTCGAGAACAGATAATTTTCTTGTCTGGAAATACAAGAAGACTATGTGATATGCTTTAACCAGTGCTTATTTGGATGAGGAATTCAAACAATAAAGTTCCTGTCATCTATGAATAAGATAAAGAAATAAGGTGTTTGATGTTTCACTTCAGAAGTCTGACAGCTACTCAGAAAGTATAGCAGAGCTACTTATTTAAGGACACATGCTTCTGTCCAAGATATCCCATGCGACTGCATACACCAGCACTGGTGTGCTGTGAAGTACTACTGCATACTGCTGGAGTTGCATCTTTATGTGACAGCATCTGAGATGAGAATAAAGGAACCACATTGCTCAAACAAAGAACAATTTGAATTCTTACTGTTTTGACCTCACTACTCTGGAGCCAAAGACTCCTGTGGTCAGATTTGCTTGTCTAAATCAGTAGCCACTGAAATTCTCACTACTGTATCCTCATTTATTATTTCTGTTTGATTATCACTGTGTAACTATGAGAACACCATAACTGTAACATTTTCAGTTCCTTGTTGTTAAGGACTTGTACCAGCAAGTGTACTGCTCTCCCCTCTTGGATCATCCCACATGCAGATGTACAATATTTCAGCCCAAACCCAGGTGTTTAGCTTTAACTATGCAGATATTCCACTTCAAAGAAAGGCTACCTTGCTAATATAAAAGAGTTGTAGGATCTTACACAGACGTATAAATGAGTACAAGATTTGCTGGTGCCATCGGTTGGAGTTAATAACACCTTTCTTAACTGCTATAAGTACAGATTGTCTTCTATATAACCTACTATGCTATCCCACTGTTTTCTATCATCACAGATGCTCTTGAAGTGTGGTTAAGCGTAAGGGGATTTCTGCATTATGCAAAATGTGGGAGAACACCAATGACCCTGTTTTGCTGATAGGGAACAAAAACATTAAGCACATTTATGAGGAAATAAGTGATACAGAAAGTTTGAGAACTGGGAACTAAAGTGCATATCCTTGGTTCAGAACTGCAACAGTTCTAAAGACACGGTTAAACAAGATAAAATAGCATAAGACACTACCCCGTATCAGCTCTATGACAGCAACCCTCCTTGCCTGCTTCTTTGACCCTGCCCCTCTCTGCAAGCTAGAAGTGTACTCCTCTTTTGCTGAGGGAAAGCCTCTGTACCACAAGATCTTCTTCCTCCTGTGGTCTCTGCAGCCTCTCCCAACCAACAGCACTATTATTTCCTTCTGCAGCATCAGTGGGGTATTTTACAATCCATAATCATAACTGTGATATCACTTTTTTTTTATGGCCACTAAAGGAGCCTTTTAGATGTTGTTTTCATATGCCTTCCAAACCAAAAGGAATAGATTTTCAATGCATAATACCCCCTAGGTTTAAGTAAGAATTAGTACGAAATCAAGGATCTGTGGAAAACAGAAATTCCCTCCGTATTGCCCAAGTGATTCCTGTTCATCAAACAAGGTCCTCTCAAACGCTTTCTAGCAATGCTGCACAGCACAAGGTTGCTGTGATTTGCAGGGAATTTCATTGGTACCTTTCTTCAAGGTGCTGTGTCTTTTCCAGCTGTTCTGCTGACTTCCGTCCTGCCAAATTTCCAGGATCCCATCTAGGCAGGCTTCCTACGCGCATTCCAAAGCTGCTTGTGACCTGCTATTCTTTCCATTTCCACTAGATCATAATGCAATTGCTTAATGAATATGCATGAAGCTGCCAGGAATGATGTATTTAACTTTGGTATGGGAATTCATCTATTTCCCTTATACTGTAATCTCATTTTATTATTCAATTTGTGTTATACCTGATCTAATTGTAACAGAACAAAGGACAGATTAGATTTCTTTTCCCTTCTGTCTCTCTCTCCCCTCTCTCCCCTCTTTTCCTCTGGCTTTGTTTTTCTCCTTCTCTTTCTGCAGCCATGCTTTACCTGCTGATTTTTCTCGTGGACAGCTGTCTGGTCATCCTCTCTGTATGAAGCAATACTATGGACTCTTTTCTTCCTATCGCCTTCCAGGACCTACCAAAGATACCCTCGTGGCCCAGAAAAGCAATGTAATGCCAGAACCAGAACACATCATTGTTGCTTGTAACAATCAGGTAAAAGAGTTTCTTTTTTTATACCTTTCTATATTTCTTAATTTGTTTAATTTCACTCCAGAAGAGCCTAATCTAATCTCTGTTCAGAAATGCAATTAGCATGCTATGTATGAGCTCACTTCTTACCAAGCATTTGCAGTCAGAATTTCCAAAAGATGCTTCTGCAGCATTTTCGTCCTTGGCCCACATTATGTTCCAAGAACAGTGATGCAGAAAGTAGGAACGTGGCAGAATTCATTTGCTCTCTCTTTTAAACAAAAATGTTTAATACACAGAGATGAAACTGCTGAGAAAAAGTACCTGCTTAGAGTGCGTTTGCTGGAAATGCACTTCTCTGGGCAGTCAAGTATTGGCACACAATATAATGGCATATATATCACCATGATATATATGTGAATGGCATATATATCACCATGATATGTATGTGAATGGCATATACACCCTGTAGGGGGGCCTAAGCTGTGCCTGAAGAAGTTATCAGAGGTGCACGCAGAAATACTGAAGCATTACAGTGAATCTGCCCCAACCTGTATATTGGAGATATATTGCAGAGTATATTGGCTGGGCAGAGTACCTTATAGCCCAGCCTGACTATTTGCAGTACTGGAGTCATGCCTGCAGGCCCTCTTGGAATGAAGGGGTAGATTCTAGTGGTCCCTTTTCCAGGAAGTCCCATTTTTCATCCCAGTAGGAAGTTCTCTCAGTTGTCTAGGTTATTTTTAAACAAATAATATCATAATAATTATTTACATATTTCCTGGTTTTATCTCTTCATGTTTTTCTGAGCTTATTCAAATAGCATTTTGTTTTTTGAGTCCAATACACAATGTAAGTCTCCTGTAGCAACTGGTATTACACTGGTGTTAAAACACAGGAAGGGTGAGCCCTGGGACAGTCCCCAGTGGTTTTGTGCTCCACTGCCTGCCTCTCCAGGCAGGACTTCAGCATCTCAGCACCTACCCAGGCAACAGCAAAATGTTGGACCACAAAAAGTCTGACTGTTCTTCTGACTTCTGTAATTTTTTTGCAGTTTTTTGTTTTGGATGTTGTCATTAATTTCCGCCGTCTCAGTGAGGGAGATCTTTTCACTCAATTACAAAAGATAGCCAAAATGGCAGAGAATGAAGAGGAAATGCTGCCTCCAATTGGCCTGCTGACAACAGATGGAAGAACAGAGTGGGCAGAGGCCAGGACCACCCTTATGAAAGGTTAGCAGCAACCATCCCAGCTTTCTCTTCTTCATCATCTTCCTCCTCTTCCTTCTCACCATCATTGCCTTTCTCTGCTGGGAGTGAACGTCACAGCAAACATAGGACTGAATGTGCAACATTCCTGCTGAATTTTTGCAGCAGCAGGAAACTCAGTATGTGCAAGTGTTCAAATGTGTGTTACCAGGGGAGTAGCAGATACAGCTTGACCCTTTGGCTGTGTATGTTTATGTGTTAATGCCATGTAATAACTCTCACTCCATTCTCTGTTTTTCATTGCATAAATTACATTACATCACATCAGATTTTGTGATTTGTCTCTTTCTTCATATCCATTTTGCAGTAGGAATGCATTTACCAGTAGGAATGATGCATTCTCTTAGCTTTTGACAACTGTCAGACATTTTTGATCTTATCTAACAAAGGCATCTACAAGTTAAGCACCTGCTGAATCTGGCTGTGTACTCACTCTAGCAAATGGAGAAGGTACCACAGCTGATGCAACCAAATCTTAAGTAAGTATCTAGGAAAGACAACACCAGTTATTATTTGGGGACAATTCTCTCTCTCTCTTCCAACAGGCAGCATTTAGTTGTCTCAGATTCTGGACTTGAATGTCAAACTTTGAAACTGTTGAAAATAAAGGGTGGGGTTAGTGATCTTTATCACACCATGCCTAATGTATTTTATTGAGAAGCTAAACACCCTCTTTTTGCCATTTTACATGTCCAAAGTATTTACTTTTCCTTCCTGAAGATAATGCTAACTCATCTCTTTATCTCCAGTTCAGCAGTGCTACAGAAAATATTGCTGGTTTACCAATGCCCTGGAATATAGAAGAGTTGCCAATAGTCTCAATAGTCTCAAAGTATGTTTACCATCCCAAGGAAGATTTCCCTTCTCTTGTTCAAGTGTTTTCTGTGCTTATAAAAACTTAGTATAGATAAACACACACACACACACACACACACACAGAGTCCTGGCCATTATTTCAGCAATATTATGTAACACCAGTCTCATCTTTAGCTCTTCCCCTTCTCTTCCTTTCCTTATTTTAATGAAAACTCAGGTAAACACCTAATCATTTGTTTGCACGTCACGCTTTTAAGTAAAACAGTGAATGCCTTGAAACCTGCTGCAAAATCATCTTGTAAACCTGCATCATTGGGGGGCGGGGAGAATCAACAAAAACTAGCAGAACCATCTCTATAGTGTTTTTAGATGGCCTGGCATATGCCAAAATATTCATTTTAATCAGGAAGCAAACCAACTCAGTCATGCAGCTGAAAAAACCCAGATCCTGCACTAGCAAATATCACCATATAGCACCCTATGAAGCAATGTGAAGTGAAAGGGGTCCCTCCACAGCTGTTCTGTTCTGGGCAGGGCAAGAGAGGATGCTGTGGGACAGAGAGGACCTATTACAGTGCTTTGCAGAGGCTATGAAGGAGAGATATCCATGGGCCTGCACAGACCTGAAAATAGATAATAGGTCTTCTAGGTGAGAAGATTTCAAAGATATTGTAATAATCCCAGCTATCAATGATTTATAAACACACTCAGTAATGTAACTGCCTTCAGGCTGCAGAACTAACTCACTCTTCCTAAGCAGAGGAAGTGAATTCTTACTGCTACCAGGGCTGCAGTTCCATGCATACTATACCTGAATTTGGTTCAGTACTGTCTTTTCCTTTTTAAAACTAAAACCAAAAACCCCAACTAACCAACAGCCAACTGGCCAATTCAATGCAATTGTGCATAAGAAAGGCAGAAGGACAAGAAAAGTCATGCAGGGCTTTAGGCTTGTTCTCACACTTCTCTGTTTCAGCTCTTGTCATGGTTCATGAGTTCTTCTGCAATTTATTGCCTGCTTCACAGGATAATTTTTTCAGTGTTTGATCAGCTCTCTAGACATGTCTGTTTCCTTCTGTAAGGCCATCTTTCCCCTACTTTTCTGTTTCTAGCAGAGCTTAAATTTATTCACTCTAATACCTACACTCCAGATACCCTGAAGCCATATGTCAGAATAAGGGCTTCGTATCTGTCAGAGATGTGTGGGTAGCAGCCACAATGAAATATATATAAACCTATCAAACAATGTAAAGCAGAATGCTGAGCAAGCTGGCAACAGTTTGTAAATCACTATCCAAGCTGTTTTTTCTTGAAGGTGCCTCTCTGCAAACACCAGAAGCTGATGTATACCAGGCAGCTTCCATTCACAAGGATCTTTTCAGCCTTTGCATCAACAAACCCAGACCATCAATGAAAAAAATACCACAGTTATGGTCAGCCCTGCAATGGGAGATACTAAAAGAGCTTTACAGTCAAGAGGACAAGGACATGGCTTCTTCCTTATGAAGTTTATGAATGCTTTTGAAGACACTTTGTAGGGATGCCAGTGTTTCACATGTAGGGTGATCATTGGCAGAAAGCTTAATATGCCCCATCAAATGCAATCTCCTGGCTCAAGTGTCTGTAGGAGCTGGCAGGCACTCCAGGTGCCTTCCCTAGGATTCTGCTTCTGTGGGCAAGGGAAGACAACAATCTTCACTCCACCAGATCCCCACGCAGCCTGCAAGGAGCCAGGCTTACCATCCCTGTCACTTGGTCCCATGGCTGCTAATCTTCCCTCACAGGAGCTGCCAAACAGCAGCAGACAGTATCTTACCATAACCTGCAAAAGGCCACAGCTCCCCCTCTCCCTTCTCAGTCACTGCTATCACTTGCTTCTCCCTCTCCTGACACCTTTTTAATTTCTTGCATGTTTTAGCTCTTTTTTACTACAAGGCATCTAGAGAATGAACCTGGATGATAACAAGCATCTGTTATATTTCTAGCTCCTCAGTAACCTATGTTACTCCTTCTAGGAAGGTGCATCTTTTTCTTAATTTGAAAAATGCTGTTTTTTCAGAGGATCAATCTACTTTTCATATGTGCAAACTTTAAAAACATGCACATATTGAAATGGCTCCTTGTATTTCAAATGCAAATCAGAATTGTTTAATTTTAAATATTTTTTTCCATTCTTTCAGCTGAAATCATCTCCTGAATTGAGCAGAGACTTGTTGAACTCAGCACAAACTTGAAAGAAGTTTTGATCAATCTAAATTCACATCTCTAGTTAAGAACGTCCTGAAACAAAAATCATTTACACCAAAATCTAGCAAAACCAGTAGATGAAAGTTGATCTGTTAAGAATGGAAGGAATTCTAAACTCACATTTGAAAGCCCTTTTTCCTTTGATCTTGTTAACAACCATTTAATAGCAATTAATAACGTTATATGCTTCTAAATAAAACAAGTTCTTGTTATATGTTCCACACTTTTATATTTTCAAAGAGCTGTATTAAGTGCTCACAATCAGAAATTTTCTATGCTTCAAACTGGTCCTCAGATGCAAACAAACTCTTAAACTTTGTAATATTTTTGAGTTAGATAAAGAATCTGAGAAAAAAATCCACGTAAATACACCACGAATAAGGAGGAACACACTGAGGACAAAGTAAAAATAGTCTCAGTAGTCCAACTCTATAAGCAAGAGTGTCAGGACAGGGAAAATAAACAGTAAGAGATCCAGAAAAACCCCATTTTATTCAGCAGTTCACTAGTGACAGGAGGGAAGTGGAATGTGGCAGCCCATGGCTTTGGCAAAATCATGTTCAAAAACTAAACCTCACAACCTCACCCACAGATATTTTCCTCATGTGAGGTAGGCAATATAGGCTAATGACCAGGGACAGGAGAGAGAAGAGGGTTTTAATACAATAACACAAAAACAACATGGGGTTTCAATGGGAGAACAGCACAAAACCAGTACAAGCCCTGCTGTTCCAGAGCAGAATACTGCAGCAAGTGTGAGCTCTGAAATTTTCTATTTTCCACCTGTCCTCTCTAACTGTTACATATAAAATAAGTAAACATTGCTGGCTTTAAGAGTAAAATAGATCTATTTTGTAATATAATTACTTCAGGAAATGAAAGGCAGAGAAAGAAAGTGGATATTATTGAATCATGTGAAAGATACGCAGAGATATTACAAAAGTTAACACATGAATTAATGCCTTGGTGTAACATTTCCTTGCCCTGAGACAATCTGCTGTGGAGAGAGCTCTGCAAACACCAGCTCACTGCAGATCTCCAACGCTGTCCAAGGCAGCAGGGCTCCCCAGCCAGTCCTGCACTTGGAGGCAAGAGGATGTGAACATTTCCCTCTTTTTCTCCCCAGACTCCACTAACCGCGACTCTCTGGACATGATTGAACGGTGCATATGCCTGGTGTGCCTGGACAGCCCCAGTGGGGTGGAACTCAATGATACAAACATGGCATTGCAGCTGCTGCACGGAGGAGGCTACCATAAAAACGGGGCCAATCGCTGGTACGACAAACCCATGCAGGTAAAAATCCTTACAGTACACGAGGATGTTGCTTGCACGTGGCAAGGGACTCCCATTGCCTTGTGACAGGGACCACTTAAAATCAAGTGGGAGAAAGAGGGGAAGGTGATGTCAGCATTTGGTTTTGCAGGGTTGGTGTGAGCAAGGCTGGTCCTTTCAGGGCAGGGGGAGGCAGACAGACTGCCTTGCTGGCAGTGCCAAGGCATTCCCCAACACAAATGCACTTTCACATTTTCTGAAGCTGCCCTGTGCACTTGAGGAGGTAAGACAGATACACAGACATGGGGGTAGGTAGACATCTGATATAAAAAGGAAAGCAGAATGCAATTTTATTACACTCAATCAAATGAAATAAAATTGCTGGCCTGGCATCCCAGAACGAAAAAGAAAAGCACAATATTTTTCCTCTGTTTTCTCTTCTTACACATTTTCCTGACATCCTACAAATACTACAATTTAGCATGTGTTTAAGTCCTCGCTTAACAGACTGTTTACTCATTTAATGGCATCCTTGTTGAGGCTTTCCTGAAAGTATTGACTTCTCCAGCCTTTTTCCCAATCAGATTTTGATTGTCATATTTGAAAGTGTCTCACGGTTATTTTCACACTTTGCAATAGAGCCAGGATGAAGCAATGTATTAATCTCCAACTGTCAACAATGTTGACACCTCATGAAAAATTGAAAAAACCCCTGACTGATAGATGGCTTGCGTAATGCTTGTTGCTCTTGCCATATCTAAGAACAGTAACATGAAAAGAGAAACCCCTAAAACAATATCACTTCCACTGACCTACCCCAGTGAAAATACATTTCAGTAATCATTCCCGATTTATGCCACTGCAAATGACATTATTAGCAGACTCCAGTGCTGCATTTTGGAAGAAGAAATAATTTGTCTTTAGTTAGAATCCTGTTATTTGCAGGGTCTCTTGTTGAGATGTTTCAAGCAGATGAGAGTAAACAAGATTTCTTTTTGTTTACTATTATAAGGTAACAGAAAGCAAATAAAATTGCATAGTATAAGGAAGAGCTTCATCTGCCCAGATATATTCAGGCCAGCAGTTTAAAAGTGAAGAGAAATTCTTAGGGAAATAAGATCCCATGCTCTTCCATGCATACACATATTATGTAGGAAGCCATTCTCACAGTGGAACTTGTTCTTTCTCTCCATATTCTTCTTCACCTTTGCAGTAAGGCATCACAAAATGTCCAGGTGAACCTTTTGCATCATGCACACACACACTCTCAGTGAAAACCTCACGGAAAGCAGGAAGGCAGGAGGCATGTGTGTGATGCAAATGCACAGAGTGAGCTGAGGGAGAGAAGTCCAGCTAAATATACTTCAAAAGAAGTGTGGGGGGAAATGCAGAAAAAGGACAGGAAACATGTGAGACAAGTTGCAGTATTGTCCTAGACATCTGCTTTTGTTTGAGATGCAGAAACAACCAACTGCATGGCTGTATCACAGAATCAGAGTGCAGTGGGTTGTCACCAGCTATGCCACATGTACACAATGAAATAAAGAATGAAGACAAGTAAGAAGGAAATTAAGAAAACACCTCAAAAAAAAAGCTTAAAAATAAGCTATGGGAAAGCTATCAAATAAGGATGAGCTTTGTAATAAAATGGGACCCTGTGGATTTCCCAGATCTAGATGTTGCACTTCTCCCAAATGTGGAAGGAGAACCCTGGCCTGTCTTTCTATTGATGGGTTTTCTGTACCATAAAGAAAAATGCTACATCAAATTTTCAGACTCCCATAGGAATTCCTAAAATTTACATTCTCACAGGACTCACAGTCCAAAATAGCAGCAAGAAAAAGATTCCATGCAATGCCTTTAACAGGACAAGAAAGTCTCCTGTGACAGGCCAGTAAGTCACCCACTGCCCTGTAAGGCAAAGAAGATCCTGATATGAGCAATGAGAAAACCACAGGAGAATAATAACATCTCTTTTAGTTAGTTTTCCATCATGAGTAACTTGGCCAGAACACGATTTATTCCCTGTATATCTTGCACCTGTTCTTTTCCTTGTTTAGTTTGTGGTAGGAAGAGACGGAGTCTGCGGCACCGTGTGTGAACATTCCCCGTTCGACGGCATCGTCATGGTGCAGTGCACTGAATACTTGCTCAAGCACGTGTGAGTTCCCTTTCAGTACAGCTTTTATACCCACTCCAGCCCCTGGGGAAGCCTCTGCCAGTGGAAAATTCCCCCTGATGCCCTAAGACCCATAAAACTATTGGAAACCAGTGATTCACTTGCCAAAAAAGCAGTGTTGAACAGAGAGATTAATCCTGTGACCTTAACGATTTCTGTCTCACATACTAACAGGAAAGAAAATTCCAAGAAATTAGTACGAGCTGATTCAGTGAGCGAGCTTCCTGCTCCACGGAGACTAAGATGGAAATGTTCCCCTGAAATTCAGACACATTTGGCATCATCAGCAGAAAAACTCCAAAGGTAGAACAGATGCCTCATTTTTCTCAACAGTGACTGCAAGCTGGGAACTACACAGCACACGGTGTGCAGGCATGGGTTTCCTCCTAGAGGGCTTCCTGCCCTCCCGCTCCTCCTCATCTTCCCAGCCTGGACATACCTAGCATCTCTTTGTGGGCTGGAGCTACTTCACTGCATTCAGGAATTGCATTACCATTGTTTTCCTCCCCTGTAAATATTAGGAATGCTAAAAACCACCAGAAAAGAAACAGTTTTAGTCCTATTTTCACAGGATGCAAACAATGCAGATCCTCTGTTTTTGTCCTTTACGTGTTTGAGCTTATTAAATCTGAAGCCAGGGCAACAGGGATACATAGGGGGGGACAGTAGAATACAACTGGTTTAAATAAATAATTTGAATTCAGGAATGTAATTTGTTTACATTCATATTGCTCCTACAAAGGCTAGTTCTTTTCCAGCCTTAATGATTCTATAAGATTCTTGCATCTCCCCCTGGAGTAACTGCTTCTGCTTGTTTTCCAGGATAGTGGAAAATCTGGATTTTATTGCCTACAAGTTTGAGCACTATGGAAAGGAATTTATTAAGAAACAAAAGGTTAGCCCAGATGCCTACATTCAAGTAGCACTTCAGCTGGCATTCTACAGGTAAGGTTAATTCAGATCATAGGAACAAGGTACAAAAGGGTAGTGGTTTTTTAAAAGAGAGTCCATCCTGCATGGAAATGAGTGATCATGCCTAATGGCTGTAGGACAGACAAGACAGAAATGGACATCCAGTTCTCAGATTACTCATTTTCTTTGTTCCCTTTCCCTCTTCTTGCTCATCATCCCTGTGTCCCACACATGCCATTACCAGCCAGTACCCTCCCCACAGCTGTCCCTGCCCTTGGCAAAGAGAAGAGGGTGAGGGGCTGTGGGAGGGAGTAGTGGGGTTGTCTGTAGCAGCAGCAGCTATAGGAGTCCAAGTCCCTGGGGCAGAAACACTCCCTTGCCACTGTGGGTAGCTTGGGAAGGACGTGGCAGTAACCCTGAACTCACCACACAGGCATCTCCTGCACTGCAGGGTGAAAAGCATTCACAGGGGAGAATTCCACAGCAGCATATCAGATCAGAGTTCCTACACAGGACAGTAGCTACTGCTGCCTCCTTCTTCACAGACATCCCAAGATTTGGTAATGTCCTCTAATTTCCACGGTATTACCAAAGTCAAAATCTCCTTTCTAGTTTGCCAGAACTCCAGACTAGAGATTGATTGCATGGTTTCCTGCAGAACAGCCTATTCCCAAACAATTCTGTGTCACGTCAAATTAAAACCTGACGTGGTCTTTATCCAGTCAAAACCAGAGGTGCCCAACTTATTTCATGTATTCCATTAACATGTGTTAAACATCCATTTTTTGCATATTCCATTAATCAAACTTCAAAAATTACCTGGTCCAAGATTTTTATCTGGATTCCAGCCATGATATAAATCCTGTGTTTGCAACAAAAGCCTTAGTTACATTCTGAGACCCCCTGCTTCGACTGGAAGACACACTAGGTCTCCTGAAGCAAGGAATAGTGGCCATACACCTGGACCCAAATTAAACAACAGTCTTCACACTCTGTTCTTATTGCTATGTGGGTTTTCATTTCAGCTCACGAATAGTACTAATATCCTTTTCAGTTTTCTTCTTTTCATTCACTCACAGAGTGTATTTTTTGTTATTTTAAATAAAACGTATTTCAAGCCCATAAATAAATGATTAATTACACAATTATTTTATGATGCAGTACAAATAAAACATTCCTTGAGATCTTTCTGTAAATTTTAGTTTTACTAGCCTTGTTTCTACACAGCGAGTCATTTTTTACTTGCAAGGCATAACTAAAACATACACAGCTGTATGTGGCTCCTCATATTAGAAGGGAGTGGGCATCGATCTTTTTTAAATTTCTTATAGAATTCTATCAGATGAATACTGTGCAAAAAGCGTGGCTGTAACAATAAAATGTACCAAGCCTATATTTCTCTTAGTCTTTATGACCCCTTGAAAATAATTATTCTTTGCTTTTCTTACTTCCTTCTTTCAGATGCCACAGGAGACTTGTCCCGACCTATGAAAGTGCTTCCCTACGCCGATTTGATGAGGGCCGGGTGGACAATATCAGGTCTTCTACCTCAGAAGCATTTGCTTTTGTGAAAGTAATGACTGATGACAAGACAGCTGTATCGGTATGTTGGTCTTCTTTGCCAATACACTGAGTAAATAATAGCTCCATTGTCCCCAGTTTCTCATTTTTTAACTGTTAACTGAGAACATAAAGGCATGGGGCAGGGTAGCAAGCCTCACAGGATTTTGCTTTTTGTACAAACCAACCATTAAGCTAAATATAAATATTCCCTTGTTTTTATTTAAGCATCCAAAAGATTCAAAGGTACCTAAACACGACATTATAAGAAACAAAACGTTTGATTTCAGATTTAGTGCTGTCTTATGAACGTTCTGTCATCAGATCCAAATTCAGCTCCCTGGAGAGACCTAGGCTGAACATGCAAAGTTCAGGACCATTGTACTGCCACACCAGGGGAATTGCCTGGCAGGTCCCCTGCAGTAGTTAGCTCTGCTGCAGACTAAAATGTGTGAAGTGACGTAATTCCCATGCTTTGATTTCTGGATAAGGTGGATATGTCCTGGATGATCTTTTTTGTTTTAAAGGTATGTTTCTACCAGAGTTAGTTTTATAGTATCGTCAAGGGAGCTGAACCTTAATAATGAAAAACTCCATCAAGCTGATCAAGCAACTCTCCAAACTGTCCTGATATCATACTGCAAAAAGAAAAATTAAAATTGCCTTGCTTTGAGGTGCCACCATCTGTTTCCAGAAGCATGAGTACTGTACAGAGTAGATGGGAATGCAGAGAGGTACAGCTGAGAGTATAGCTGCACAAACAGCATTGTGCACTGTCCCCACATCGTCCCTGGAGAGCCTCCCTCAATGCCTCTCTCTGTGCCACTTCCACCCACTGCACTTCGCTGCCGTACAGGGAATTTCCAGGTGGCTGTTTAGATGCAAAACGTTTCCACAATATAGATTATTTTTCACAGTAAGCCCACTCCAGTGGCAACAGCCCACATGGCTGTTCTTTAGAATTCAGCATAGCGTTGCTAGATGCATTGCTGGGGTGTAGATTAGGTGTAAATTAATGAAATATGATAAACCAAGCTGTAATGTCCCGGAGGATGATGAAAATTTGCCCAGAAAAGTGCTCTGTTCAGCCACTGCTTCTTCAGTCTCTTTAAGGTTAGGAGCCTAGCATTTAGCTCCTGATGGACAAGACTCAAATTCCACGGTAAAATGATAACTCAAAAAACAGTAATTCCCTGTGCTGAGTGGGTAATTCATAGCAGATTATGACCATCCTATTACACATAATAGTGACTACCATACAGAGGACAAGAAGAGGCTGATGTTATTTGCTATCAGTGAACTGTCTGACAAGATTGTTCTTGATCATATTTCATTAGAAGCTACTGTTGTCTGTGCACACCTTTCTCTCCACATGTGTGCTCAGCACAGCCCCAGCCCCAACGCACTTTGCAGCAGATTGACTGCACTCCTGGGAGGAGCCAGCCTGCTCCTCACATACCGTTTCAACGCATCCTCCTTATTCCTTCCAATAGTCCCTTCCTTTTATATTCCAATACTTACTACGTTTTGCAGTCCCAAAGCTTTAGCATTGCTCATGATTTCACCACCCAAATCTGAGGTTGTGCTCCCCTTTCACAGCACGCCAAGGAGTGCCATGTGTGCCTACACTGAGCTCAGTCTCAGCCCCCATATCTGTCCACTGCCTGCCCTGGCAGTAGCAAATAGGGAGAAAAATGGTTTCATTCCCCCTGGAAAACCTACCATCATAATGCAAACCAATACACTGATAGTTTCCCTGGCTTCTTGTCCACTGAGAGATAACAAAGGACATTCACACTGGTCTGGGATTGTTCTTTCAAAGAGGCATTTAGAAATCTTTGTTTTGATGTGAACATCTTTGTCTTTCAGTTCAAAACTATATATATAATTATCACAAAAACATTAGAAACAAAATTAATACAACCCTATTCCAAGGTGATTTCCTTAAGTCACATCGCTGCTGAACGTTAGGGGGTTATTTCTATTTTTTAGACAAAGAGCTCCATCACTTGCTTTAAGCAGCCTTGAACTCCCCAAAATATTTTTTTGTTAATAGCCATTAATTCAAATAACATTTAAAACCATTTTCCTTCTGATGCTAATGAAAAATATCTTCAAACCATAGCTTGAAGAGTCACCAAAGATTGATTGAGTCAGATTGATTCTTTAGCAGGAGAAATATCTCATGCATTTGACACTTGCTTTAAAAGCAGCAGCTACTGACACTAGAGAGATTGCTTGAATAGCTGTAAATTAATCAGATTTAAAGACTGCCTTTGGTAATTTAATCTGTATAAGGGAACTAAGTCCTAGATCTAGCCCTGTGAAAAAATATCAGACTGTATTTTGAAGGTCCCTGATGGTGACCTTGACTTGCTTCTAAAATGAATTCTTTGTTCAAAAGATCATTCATCGTCCATAGGAGCTGAAGGTCTCCTGTTTATCTGGAGACCCAGACATTTCTGGCTGTTTCAGGGTCTCCCATGGTTGCAGTGTGGGACTTGATGTACAGCAGGGCAGCACTTCTTAGGATGGTTCCCTTAATATAAAAGGCTGCCATTTGACAGGAGTCAAAATTTACTACCTTGTTATCTGAAGTGTGAGGCACCTGTGGAAGGTAGAGCAGCCTTGGAAAATTCTAGATGCCCTTTCACACATGGAAGTAATTTTTTGACTGGCTAGTAAAATATCAATAATGGCTTTCATTAATATCACTGTCATTGTCCAGATAAACCATTCTGGAGAAGATGCACTGGCTGTCTTTTTTGAAAACGCTGAATTACACTAGGCAAACATTTTCCCTATTTCAAATGGAGTGATTCAACTGGTAATAATCTACACCCCCAGAATCCATGGAAGGAATTCACAAAAGGAACTACAAACCACAACCAATAAACCTGTTCAGCTCTTGCACAACAAGGCAAGAGCTTTTCAGTTATAAGTACTTACACCTGAGGCAGGAGCAAAGGACATTTGAGAGTGCTTGTGGTTTGGCTGTTGGTTAGTTGATGGAAGATGCTATTTCTTTGAGAACTTAATAATATATTTTTTTTTTGATTACCTCAATAGGATTCTGAGAAGATGCAGAGATTTAAGGATGCAATTACAGCTCAGACTAATTACTCTATTCTGGTGAGTAAAACCTTCTACCTGTTGGAATAAGAACTACTTGGCTTTTTCAAGAAAAGTATGAAGACACAATCATGATTTTAGCACTAGAAAAATGTCGGCACCTCCAAATAGGAAAGTATCTGCCACGTCATCCTTATGAACATTTCCAATGGCCAAAATAGCCATATTCAACTACCCTCACCTTAAAAAATACTCCCTCAAAAGCAAGATAACAAAATATTCATTAGACATTAGTGGAAAGACCATGACTCTCTGGCATTAGCTCTCTTATCTAGCACTGTCATGGGACATGACACTCTGTATCCAACCTACTCCCAGCGAATGTGCATCTGTGACACATTTATGATTTATATCTGTGTCATTATTAGGAGTCCCAACCACAAACTGGGATTGCACAAACCTTGGAGTTGTACAAATTAACAATTCACAAATGGCCTCCATCTTAAAGAGCTTGCAATCCAAATTTCATAAAGGGATTTTTCTTTTTTTTTTTTATAAATACTGGTGAAACAAGTCTTTATTTTTTGTGCTCTGTGATCAGCACGAAATGTTGGCCATGAAGGTAGCCAAGCAAAGGGGCAGTGAGGTGCTCAATGGGGTATGAAAAGCAAAAAGCCTCATCAGAGATGGGAAGTATGCAAGGCTTAAAGCACCCAATTTAACTGCTATGTAACACGCAGGAAAAATAAAGTTCCAGCAGCAAAATTCAGATCCCCCAAATTTACAAGTGTTTAGACCCATAAGCTATATCATTGCAGATAATCTTGAGACAGTTGTAACACATCAGGAACAATTTTTGCCCTAAAACCGACCATCTATGCATTTTCTTATATTTCTCTTCACTAGAGGAGAGAGGTCCCTATCTGGGACTTGATTCTGAGATGGACTGGTATTCTGGAAAGTGTATTCTGGTATTCCAAAGTGCCATTTCTAATAACGGTCATTAGCAATGAGGGAATTATTATAGTAAGTCCTGTTTTAAAGACCCGAGTGCAGTGTATAATTAAAGAAAGAGATGTCCTCCAGTGAAGAAATCAGTTTAGTATCAAATACAACTCATTTTCTCTTGATTACAAATGAGACCATTCAGCCTGAGTAATGCGGTACATCCCACTGTGTCAAGACAAAGCACAGACTTATTCTATAAACAACTTAGTCATAGCACTCATGAAATTAATAAATGTTAATAACCAGCTATGATAAGTGAATTTTTTACCTATGATTTTACCTCAGACTATTGCCTAATAAGCCCACATTGTTGAGTACTGTTTAGATATTCATAATACTCAAGAAATCATTCACTTTCAGAGGTGGTTTCAAAGGTAAACTCAGAGCATTGGAGAAGCAAAGTGTTGCTTTCAGGCAGGATCTGTGCCTAAAACTGTGAAACAAAAGAAGCAGGGAAGAAAATCAATTCTGTGTTTCAAGACTTGTTCTGAGAACCCACGTCTTAGAAACTGATATTCCACGTAATCTGTACAGTGAAGGGAAGTCTTATCTCAGGGCAACTGTCTCACCTGAACCATCTCAGGGTAACCTCACAATGAGGACAACGTACTGTAGGTCTACTAGGTCATAACCAATGAAATTTCTGTATATGTCTTAAAAAACCAACCAACAACAACAACAAAAGAAAAATAAAGGAAAAAAAAAAATCTCCCCTCCAAGCTCCAAGTCATTTGAGATCCAGAAACTGTTATAAAATTCAGCCTCAGTGTAGATCATGGGAAAATATTAAATCTGCCATTGGAAAAATAATTTATTTTTAAATTCAAAAAGCTCTCCAGGTATTTCTACTCAACAAGCTTCCCCTTCTTTCTCAGAATAGCAGAATGTAATTGTTGTGCCTTTAAACTGTGGGTAAGACTTAGATGGTCTGACTAAATTGTGTGCAACAGACTGAAATGTAATAGCTCCTAGGAAAAACAAGAAAAAAAAAATCTACTTCATAAAACAAAAAGCAATTTACTGATTTTATTTCCCCTTGTTAAGGCTTACTAGTAGCATTGCTATCTTAAATGTGGAGCTCTAAAATTCAATTTAGCACAGTTTTTTCCTATGCGTTGACTCACAGTTTATTTCGTTAGCCTGTCTCGGCCTCTCTTCAGACATGACATTGATCTATGTTGCAAAAATGTCATTGCTAACAGCCTTATAAATCTTGTGTGATAGCAAAATATTTCCTTTGATTATCAAGTTGGTTTCCCTGTATGGGAAGAAGAACGTAAGCACAGCCCTGATGTATGCCACCTTTCTGCAAGCATCCTTGCTCTGTGTGGGCTGATGAACAAATAGCCCCCTTTCCAATGGGTGCTAGCCCTTCATAACCCAAATAAGATTCTGTGCACTCCCAAACCCCTGCTTCAGGCAGTTACCAGTGGTTAAAGATATTTTCCCTGTGAGAGGAAAAGCACACTTGTGTTTTTCTTTAATTTTCTTTTTTTTTTTAATCCTTAAGAGGAAAACCAAGCTTGTGCTCTTTTTTAAATCCTGCCTTTTCTCAGGCTACTTGTTTCCCTTGTTACAAGGATCCTGTGCCACGGGGATATCAGTTCTGCTCTCAGTGCAGTACAATGTCCCAGGTTCAGCATTCTCTTCCTATCTGTCTGGATCAGGGATGAGCTACAGCTCAGTCCACAAAATCAGTGCTTTCACCAGCAAGAACAAACCTAGACTGAAGGATTTTAGGTGCAGGTATTACCTGAGGCAATTCCTACCTGGTTGGAACAAATTTTGATTTGGTTTCCTAAAGAAACTAAACTCTGTAACTATCCTGTCTGCCAATCTCCCACTGCTCATTTTTGATCCCGTTAGCCATCTTCAATCACGTTTGCTAGCAAGGCAAAGATCCTAAAGTGAATAAATCCCTTAAGTCTACAGCTATTAGGGAGCTGGACAGAGCAGAGACACAAGCAGGGCAAGCTGCTGGCAGAAAGCCTCAGTGCAGGCTCAGCAGCAGTTCTTGCGACCCGGCCAGCCAGCCACCAGTGTGCCACTGTTGCCAACCCCCCACACGTGCTTCCTATCACCTTGCCTACGATCCTGAGACAGGAGAGGGAACTGGGGACATTCAAGAGCAGAATCAGGGGGCAAGCATGGCTGGTTCTGCATTGGGGATCATGGTGAGCAGAGACATGGGCGAGCAGGACAGCGAGTAGAGACTGCTGAGGGCCTCTTGCTTGTCAAGAACTTTATTCTCCTTTGTTAAACCCTGTTTAGTTTGACCCTAGACCCTTGGTACCCCAACTATGCTACCATCCAACTATGCTGTCCTACACTCACTGTTCCCAGTTGTCTCATTGGAGTGAAGGCCAAAGTAGTGAGATATTCCAGCTCTGCAATGGAGCCAACACAGGGAATGAGGGAAGAAATTGGATATTTTGGCAGTCAATTAAATTTCAGTGGCATTCTATATCCTCAACCCCAGTCTTCCCAAGCAGTGGGATATGCTAACAGATCTGTGAAGGATCACTGGCAAATCTGTCTGTTATTCTGTAAGCACTGTTAAATCTGTTGTGGACACCTACCAGATCTTTGAATCTAGATTCTGTGGAATGACACATGCTTTAACTGCCAGAGTGACATGCAAGTAGCAAGGCAATGAAAGATTAATGTATTCCAGTTTGGAGCTGTCTTGGAGCCTTCTATCTTAAAATATAACCCTAATGATGAGCAGAAAATTCCAAAACGTGCTGAGAAATTTCTGGTGTCCCCTATGCTCCCCTCAGCACCCTTGGAAGCCCAGCCCAGGACATTCAGCTCTGAGAGATGAGAAACACCCAGATAACATCATCATACAGTACATCCCAAGACCGTTGCCTTTCTAATTTTTACATCTTCAGAGCACCACATGAATTTCTAGTTACTGATCCTCTGCAAAGTACATACTCAGAGTAATATCTGAACATTACAGGCATTACATCACCCTAACCAAGTTCATCAACTCTGACCAGAAAACTAGGGAGTAACAGTCCAAAAAATGTCTCCAAACTCAGTTAAATGCTGTTGTCCTATCACACTGTACACAGGCTATTACAGGAATGGCAATAGACAATCACCTGCTAGGGCTCAGAGAGGTGGCACGGGAACACTTCAAGGAACTGCCAGAGATATTTACGGATGAGACATACTTGACAAGCAATCGATTCATCCTCTCAACCAGCCAGGTGAGTTCTCTCTCCTGTTCATTGGTCTTGCTAAGCAAAGGCTAATTCATTTGTGTTCTGCCAGACCTTGTGGCTCACCGTGAAAACAATGTAAAGAAGTAAAACAAACAAAAGTGGTACCATCAAGAAGCCTGCAAATTGCTCCACATTTTTAGTTCACTTCTAGTCCATCAGCACACTAAATCAGCAACATCAGCACAGTGAATACTGAATGAAGTTATCACTACATTTGCAACATTCCAGAGCCCTTCCTGGAAATTCTGGAAATGCACACAAACAAACTCAGTAAAATTCACTTGAGGGCTCAGAGTTTCCTCATTTTCCAAACTACGTGTGTTCCCATTCCCTTTCTTCTCCTCCTTCCCCAAGGTGACAGCTCCAGTGGGAAGTGACAGTACAGCCACAAGCCAATGAGCTGCCACTCTGAGAAACAAGAAGCCGAGAGCCATGAGGATATTTTACTCTTAAAAGTAGCTGTGTTGAAATCTTTGAGAGCCTTCAGTTATTCACTGTAAGACTGCAACCCAGGCAGACGTGCAACTTAGATTTACAGACATTTCAGACACGTACAGATATTTACGGATTTACAGCTATTCGCACATTCAAAGATACTCTAAGAGTCAACACTTCCTACATTTAATGTTCTGAATAAGGAAGAATCCTTATGGCATACAGCCTAAAAATTAAATGTTTCATTGCATGTAGTAGCAGTCCTAATGAAAGAAGGAATCTATGTATGAATTCATTAACTGAAACACTAACCCAACTGCACAGATTGGAACTCTGCAACAAAAGAGAGTTATAAAATCATGCTACAGCATAAAACCTTAATAAGTAATTTGATCTTGTCATAATGTTTGCAGGCTTTCAGACATGAGTGAATGTGACCAACACACTACTACATAAATTCTCCAAGAAACTATCCATGAGCAAAGAGTGCTTCTGAATAGCTTTATGGCCTTCGGCTGTTGCACAGCAAATTTATCTGACAATTCTATGGCTCTATTAGCAGGACTGATGGCTTGTTCTACACCATTAAAAAGCCAAATGTCGTTTGTGAAGGCCCATGTACACAAAGTCTGAAACATATAGATTTCTAACACATCTTTTATTTTCTGCAGTAGAAAGTGTTTCACTGCCTTATTATGCCATGATTAAACTGGGGTGTAATAGAAATATAGCACCAAGATGCATTAAAATGTTTTTATACATGATCCCAATTATAAACTATTATTAGAAATGGACAGTACTAATTTCTATAATTTAATGCAGTGCTCACATTACAAGTTTAACATAACCTTAGGATAACCTTAAGAAATTAAAAACCTCAGAGAAGTTTTATGTACCATAATTTTGTGTATGAGAATTACACAAAATTCCTATCTATCTGTAACAAAGCTTATAATAGCTTTTCAATATCTATATAAATTGACCAAAGAAATGCATTCTAGCTACTTCAAATGACAGCAGTTTTTAAATGATACCAAACAAACAGAGCAACCAAATTCTATACTGAGATCAGCTTTTACCTGCCAAGGTAAATGAGTTCCGGGTCTGGACTTCTGAAGCCAGTGATACTCCATAAGGGGGGGATTCACCACATTACCAGCATTTGTAGCATTTGTTTAGCATTTGTTTATCTTTTTCCTCATTCCTAACCAGCTGATTTCAGGTCCCCTGATTAATCAGAGATCACTCCTTCCCTTCTCCCCACAACCAGGTTCCAACTACTATGGAAATGTTCTGCTGCTACGGGCCTGTGGTGCCCAATGGATATGGGGCATGTTATAACCCTCAGCCAGAGCATATATTATTCTGCATCTCAAGCTTTAAAGAATGTAAAGAAACCTCCTCAGCTGTGTTTGCAAAAGCTGTGGAAGAAAGTCTCCTAGCAATGAGAGATCTGTGCAATAAATGCAATTCTGCTACGGCAAAGCCACTTGCTAAACAAGATGCAGCCACACAGCTGCAGAGTGCCAGCAAACACTAAGAAGGATGTGAGAATTATTCTCCTGATCCACCTTGTGAAGAAACATGACATAGTTGTTCAAAGGCAAGATCATAATAGTAATAGAACAGTGTGCAACCAAAGTGTCATTTGTTTCTCATTGTTGCCAATATTTACAACTCTGTGTACTAAATCCACCATTTCTCGCTTAAGGGACAGCAAAAAAGTTTGGTCTCCCTGGCTGAAATGAAGGAGGAAGTAATACAAGTATGTGTTGTACTACATTTCTAACCATAATTAACTTGTGCCATATTATTACCTAAAAAATTGAGTACTTTTGTATGTGACATGAATTAAATACTAAGGCACACCAATTAATTAACATCCCTTGCAAGTAGTTCTAAAATATTCACATCTATTCCTGCAAGATTTGCATGTAGAGAGAGAAAAAAGAAAAGACATTTCCTCTACTGGGAATTTTGAGAGTAACACTGTAAATAATAGGCTGAAACCATTATATCTTGAATATTTGCATGAAGAGTATTTAATACCACCAGTCTATTTACTATATAAGAAAAACTGATAACTTTTAAGAGTGGCCACTGTGCATTTCCACAGAGATTAAAAAGACAATACTAGCGTTTACATGTTACCCCAGTTCAAAAATGCTGCAGAAATAATTTTGCCTTTATTCTGGTTTGCACTGGCCTCAAGCACAGTCCTGTTCTGAAAGTAGCATATTGGAGACATGATCCATCACAGAGAACTGGGAGAATTGTGTCCATAATGAATTGACTTAATTATTTCTTTCTATCAGTGAGCAAAATCCAGTCTGACAGAGCAGCAAAGCATAAAGCATAAGCACCACTCAATCCCACTTAAGACCTTTTCTGTTTGCATGGGAATGAATTCAGTCACTGTGACTAGGAGGAGAGTATATGCAAACACACAAAATCAAAGAGCAATAACAAGAATGAAGAGGCAAATTTGCAATATAAGGAAGTCTTCAAGCTGGAGCTACGAATACCAGTTTAAGAGTACTGGTACTCATATCATCTTTGCATCATCCCATGTGAAGGGATTTAGATTTTATATTTTTAATAGCATAACTAGCATATCATATCCTGCAATATACAGTAAATTCAATCAGGAAAATAATAGAGTATCTAGTAATCCCCATATTATGTGAGTGTTATCCTGAGGGTTTTCTCATTATGTCTTTCATTCCCTACAAATCCTTCCAAGGACTGATATTTTCAGTTACTCTCTCTCAAGCCAAAATATGTTGCCTTACTTAGAAGTGTTCAGTCATCGTTGGTAGAATACAACTTACTCAATGACTAAAGACACTTACCCACTCACTCCAGCGCAGATCCCTTGCTACACAAGCTGGAACACACTCTGAGGCCTGGCCAGGGATTGCTTACTTGCCCATGGAGTGGTGGAGATGCTTCTTCTTTGGTAGACTGAACAATCCCATGCTTAAGCACTCTCAAGCCTAAAAGCAGAAGACATTTATTACAATAAACTAGAGATGCAGATATATTTCTGTTTAAGAACTCTAGATACAGAATCAGTACATTCTGTATGTCTGTGCCTATTTTACCACCTCTTCGGAGTTGCATGCATGCAATTAAGCAGTCTGCTGGATAAAGGATTTCCATAACCCCATAAGTAAAGCACAGTGGGCCTGATAATCAGTTGGAGAAAAGTCAGCTATGTTGGAGTAAATCAGCTATGATGACTTACAGACATTAAGAGCTGGGGTCATTTTTTTAAAGTTAATATGTTTCACTTAAAAGATATGTATGTTTCATTACTTTATAAGCTTTGGTTCAAATCAAAGATAAAATCTATTTTTAGATTATATAAATAATATTATGGCATAAAATCTGCCCCACAATTATCATAGAATGGTTTAGGTTGGAAGGGACCTTAAAGATCATCTCTTTCTCACTTCCCTGCCATGGACAAGGACACCTTCACTAGAGCAGGTTGCCTGGAGCCCCATCCAGCCTGACCTTGAACACTTCCAGGGATGGGGCATCCATAACTTCTCTGAGCACCCTTTTTCAGGGCCTCACCACCTTCACGTTAAAGAGTGTCTTCCTAACATCTAATCTAATCTAAAAGTTCGGATGTGAAAATAAATAAATGAAAATCAAGAAAACTGCTAGTCAAACCAAATGTTCACTTAAAGCATACACTGTTCAAAATATAACTTTAAATTGTTCCTATACTGTAATTATGAAAATTTCCTCACAACATTCCCAGTAATCTTTCTTTGTCTCATTTCATTGGAAAGGCATTCTGCATTATTAACATAAATGCAGCACTACATTTTTTCATAGAATTTTATGCTTAAAATTATAATATTTGAAGTGTATAACAATACTGTAAATAGTTATTTGATAATTTATTAATTTTCTTCTAATTAAATATACAATTTTATTTTGTATTCCTACTTACATAGGCCCTGATAGTTATTTGCAAGTATTACCTGTTTCTTATTTCAGTTTTCTGTTTAGAATTATAACAGTAGCTTAGACACTGTACTCAACACAGTCACTGTGAGAATTCAGACTGCAACTACACCCACACCTGAAACCTTATACCAGTTTATCCTTAAGAGCCCCTTACTTGTTTACAGCTGCCATAACAGGTGTTTTGGATTCTCCAACTCTGCAATATACTGGTGGTGGAAGATACTGACACCATATTTTTACTTGAGGACCAGTGACCACCCACCCTTCCTGTTTATTTAGCTAACCATCCCAGACTTGCATCTTAGTGATCTGGTTTTAGTATTCAGCCTGAGTACCTGAAAGGAGCAGCTCTGATGAACTGAGTCCCTCCAGAGGAAGCCACCTGTGCACGTGCTTTACCTTAGCCACTACCCCTGCTAAAAGCACTACCTGCAAACTACCTGACTCTGTGCAAGGACCTTCAGACTCAGTTCAGGTCTGTTTAAATTGGAGAGTCCTGGTTAAATTACGGATGGATAGAATTCACAGGGCATCACAAACTTCTCTGTTTGACAGCAGAAGCTTCCTAAGGGACTGTGCTGCTTCTCAGTTAACAGAATCCCCTACACCTGTGTGGGATGATCTCATACTGCAGCTGCATCTGTTAAGGATTTCAGGAAATAGGTAGTTTTTTTGAGTCCTTATTTAAAATTATTTGTATTATATAAATGAAGTTCCTTTCTGAAGTTTAAAAATACACACTTCTATGCACTTACAGAAATCAAACATGAAGCTTTTAAAACGTTCCTAACCAGAAAACTGTGGAATAGATTGTTCGGCATAAAAAGAGAGAAAATTTTGATTGACAAACCAAGTGTAATTACGTTAATGTAACAAGTGGCAATGATTTAATGAGCCTCTTGGTGGGACCCGGGACACACAGCCCCCCTGCAAGAGAACTTGGAGAAGGTAATTGTTTTGCTCTCTCCGTGGGCGTACACCACCGTTCACGCAGTGCTGGGATGAAGGAAATTAAAAGCCAATTTTTTCGTGAAATTTTGTATTCACAGCGAGCAAAAGTAAAAGACGTTTGAGTTCAAAACAGGGGTGTTTCAAGGGTGTAAAAGCCCGACCTCGCTCCTTTGACAGGAGTGCTGCCAGAACCCCTTGTGCCACGGGTAGTTTGGCAGGACATGGCTGCGACAACACAGCGTTATGAGTTGCAGATGACATAGAAATATTTTAGGGATACTTTTATTTTTATAAAAAAGTATAGATTTATGACAAATGTAAATGTGTGTTTATAGCACTTGTTGTTCCTGTTGTGTCTCTATCGAAATCTATTTATCTGTCTCTATCGATATATACGCGCTGAAGTGTACGCCGGTAACGCGAGTTCAGCTCGTTCACAGGCGCAGCTCCGCACCGCAAATAAAAGCTGCCAGAGGAATAGCCTTTGTCGCCTTTTTCTGCCGGGCAGCCCCGAAGCCCCCGAGTTCCCTTGGCCCCGACACAGGGACCCTCAGGGGCGGGGGAGCCCCCGAGCCGGGACCGCACCGTCGGGCGCTCCCTCCTGTCCTGGCACCAGCCACCTGGTTCCCTGTAGCCGTGCCGTAGGGAAGGCTCTCGCATCCCACGGCTAGCAGGCTGCGAAGGGGGCTCTGGCAATCGTGTCAGAGCGAGAGGGGGAAAGAGCTGCTCCTCAAACGCGCCTCGGAAAGCACAAACACCTCCATCTTTTGTGTTTGCTTAAATAAGCTCGCATTACACTGTGTATATATTTTTCTTTTCCAGTTGCACAGACTCATTAAAATCGCGGTCTGAAATAAACTCATAAACCAAAGACGGGAACGTTTAACCCCAAATTTAGCCATAAAGCAAAGTACTCGAGAGTAAGAAGCAACATTTGTTGCTTACAACTCAGCTATTATTTCCAGCAACCAACACCGCGCAGGCAGCAGGTGCCCCCGGGGTCGGAGCAGCTGTGCCACGTTTTGGAGCTGCCGCATCCGCAGGTGAGCTACGCCATCGGAGCGGGACCGAGCCGGCTGTGCGGCTCCCGGCACCGCTGCAGGGTGTGGAGCGGCTCCCCGGCAGCTCCAGCAGAAGAGCAGCGCCTCGGGGCATCGCTGAGTTAGCGAGCGCCGCAGAACTTCACTCTCCGTACCTCAGGTTGCCGTGATGCATCACCCACAGAGGAGAGTTGTAGCAATGCTTTTCTAATTCACCTCATTAAGTACTGGTGTGGTCTATTTCCCATTTATGAGGGAATGAGCAACGCTTTTCCTCTGTTGCTTTCCAGTCGTAAGAGCGCACATAATAAAAATTTCTGCCTACCAAAACTAATCTAAGGTTACAAGACAAGTCGAATTGCATGTGTGTGATCTCAAGTATTCAAATAAGTAAAATTATATGATTAAAAAAGGCTTTAGATCACATAGAGGCACCAAAAAACAATATGTATTTAGTCAGTATCAGATAAATCACTATTTGCTTGACACTGGAAACTTGAGAGCACGAGTTAATACAATTTATGGGCTACTGGCAACTCACTCCAGTTGTCTCACTGGGGTTGGTAGATCATTGCAATGTACCTGACATGGACTGAGAGAGACCAGGCCCTAACCTAGGGAAACTGATAGGGTGGGCTTTTTAATTTAGAGCCCAGAGTATAGAGA